GATTCTAGGGGTCATATGGTTTTTATTCAGAGTTGTCTTGGATTTCAGGGTTTGTCAGTGTTTTTGTTGTGTATGTGGTCTTTCTTGCATTTTACTGTCTGGTATCTGTTATTTTTATTTTATGCTTTTCGTTCCTTTGGGAGTGTTTGGTTGTTTTGAATCGTTTGCTGTTCGAGTTGTTAATAAATCACATAAAATAGCATAAAGACTTGGACTATTGAGAGAGAAAACTTGACGTCAGATCATATTAGAAGATATTCTGAACCTGGATAATTATTTCATACATTGCCGGTACGCTACAATTTTTGGCGAGAGCACGCCAGGATATTTTCTATGAACTATGATTTTTTTTCTCTTACTTGGACTAATGGATGATATGTCAAGGCTCTGGTCAATAACGTGCCTGTTTTGTTTTTGATTGATACCGGTGCGGGTGTCTGGCTGATTGACACCGCTGTTTACTCGACGTTGCAGGAAGATTCGAACATTTCGGGGCTACATCCTGTTCCAGCGCCACTCCGTACTGCCGGTTGCGAGTCATTTGTGTCTCATGGTGTACTTGATGTCAACCTGACGATTGAAAGCTGGTCTGTGGAGCATACAGTTGTGGTCGCCGATCCGGGGTCACGTGCGGGTGTCTCGCTCATAGACACCGCTGTTTACTTGACGTTGCGGGAAATTCGGTTCGGGTGTCTCGCTCATAGACACCGCTGTTTACTCGACGTTGCAGGAAATTCGGACATTTCAGAACTGTATTCTTTTCCAGTACCATTGCGTACTGCCAGTGGCGAGTCGTTAGTGTCTCATGGTGCACTTGATGTCAACCTGACGATTGAAAGCTGGCCTGTGGAGCATACCGTTGCCGTCGCCGATCTAGGGTCACGGATGGACTATCTTGGCAAATTCGTCGCATCGTTTTGTTCTTGAGGGACAGGATGTTAAGATACAGCACCAAACAGCTTCTCCCTGCTGTCATGGAACTATAGTTGAAGATGTGGTTATACCGGCCGCTCGGGACTGGTTGTTCTAGTTCAGCTACAACAGCCTTGGCCGTCCGGAGATCTAACATAGTAGCCGTTGTTGAGCCATTGGAGATATGCAACATCAATTTGGTCGTTTCGATGACGTTTGTGGACTCAATTCAGAATGACAAACTTTACGGATGCGTAAGCGTGAGGGTAGACGGCCTGCATATTTTAAAGACATTCGTGGACATATTTTGGTTTTGACTACTGCTTTTCGTGTTTCAAATATTTTCTTTAGAGATGAAAACATTCTTTCATAATGTTCCATCTAGAAGAGGGGGGTAATGTGACGACCCTTGTTTTGCCTGTTAAATGACGTCATGTGATATCGTTTCCATATTTGGTAGTCTAGCAGTTTAGACGCTGCGACACGGTCGATTGGTTCTCTTGGGCAGCGTGGTCTGTTGGTGTATGCTGTGTGTGACAGGGTGCAGTCGTCTGAGTCGGTGGGTTTTGAATGTCTGTGTGAATGCCTCTGGTCTTCAGGGATGTTTGTCTGTGTTGTGTGACTGTCGGATGTTTTGTGCTGGACAGTGGGCTGACGTAGGGACCATGTCTGCATGTTATTGTTTTTACCAGTATAGTGCCATTACAGTTCATTTACCGTAGTGTTGTATTTTCAGTTTTATCGTGGAATTAGCTTTCATCAGTATTGTTCAAATGTTGTGCACCTATAGAATTGTTCATAGTCTTTTTAAATGCCTGTCATAAGTTACTTTCGGCCTGTTTTGCAAATTGCAGTAGCTAGTTTATTGTACCAGATTCTAGGGGTCATTTGGTTTTTATTCAGAGTTGTCTTGGATTTCAGGGTTTGTCAGTGTTTTTGTTGTGTATGTGGTCTTTCTTGCATTTTACTGTCTGGTATCTGTTATTTTTATTTTATGCTTTTCGTTCCTTTGGGAGTGTTTGGTTGTTTTGAATCGTTTGCTGTTCGAGTTGTTAATAAATGACATAAAATAGCATAAAGACTTGGACTATTGAGAGAGAAAACTTGACGTCAGATCATATTAGAAGATATTCTGAACCTGGATAATTATTTCATACATTGCCGGTACGCTACACAAAGTTTCTGAAATATTGTCCAGCGGAAACATCTGCAGCAACTGTAATAAACTACCGTAAATATTATTGTGATTTTCACAAGCTTCTTTGGAAAATTTAATGTAGATATGCTGAATGAATAACAAGTATTCTGGAGACAAGAGTGGAAGTGAATCTGATTCTTTGTTCATGAGGGGTATCAACGAGCCTTGAGAATTGTGGCAGGCAGTCTCTGGATGACCGCGGAATTCATTTTTTTTTTACAAAATTGCACCTCCAAGGAATTCTAAGATATCATTTCCAGATCTAGTTATTTCACTCGCAATTTTGTCGAGCGTTTCTTCTTTCTTTGTTATCAACTTTTTCTATAATTTCGTTTGATAAATTTGCAGCTTCGGAGCCTGTCAGAACATGGGAGTTGAAGAAATATTTCGTTTTACAACAGTACTTTGGTATCTGACCAACAAATACCTCCTGATTATTATTGCAACCAAAGCACTCCATCCACTCTTTCAACGTATTCACACCAAAAGCTGTATACTCTCCATCAAACCATGTACAGATTTAACTGATATAGAGATAATTCTTACGTATTGGAGTCAACCTTTATTGCACATACCCCCATTCATTTTAGCAGAGCCATTATATAATGGCTCTGATTTTAGTGTGCATCAACTAGTCTATCACATCTGGTATCAAGTATTCACTAGTGCCATTTTGAATAATTGATGCAGCAAATAAATATATGCTTCGATAGAGAATTTAAATAGTATTCTGCATTGAAGGTAAAATACGCGTAAAATGACTGAAGAACCACTTCGACTTTCAGGTTATTAAAAGGTGTGGTGATCACAACAACATATTGAAAGGTGTGTCAAGCAAAGTTAATTTTCATTCTATAGAAAACTCCAGCATCTGAGTATAGCTTACTAGTTTACATTGATTCGTAACAGCTGACTCAGAATTCCATATTCTGGTATTTCAGTAATTAAGCAATTTTGGAGTTAGCCAATTAATACCTGAGTAATGAATACAAATAAATTTCCATCGACATTAGGCGATGGTGAATAACAATATATGGAGAGAAAAATATATATATATACTACTATATATCAGTGGATACAAGGTTAGAATGTGGTGAAATTGTTTCACCAGCAGGAAAAATGATCAAATGCAGTTTAGTAGTATTACAAACTTATTTCCGCAATAATAAATATAATAAATAGAAACTCATTCTGGCTAGAGGATTATTTTTTTATTATCGAGGTTTGAAAAACTTTCAACAAATCATTTTCAGATCTGTTTTTTTCACTGACGATTATTTCAGGCATTTTTTCTTTGTTATAACTGTTTCTTGTTTAATAAATTTGCAGCATCTGAGTTTGCCAAAACATGAGACTTGAAAAGAGATTTTGCTACACAGCAGTACTTCAGGATTTAACCAATAATTAGCTAGTAATTTTTATTGCGACTGAAGCACTCCATCCATTCTTTTAATATAGATACTCCAAAATCTGAGAGCTGCACATTCGAACCCTATCTTAAGCTGAGGCCTGAGGGGCTGACTGCATACCAGATAATCTGTAAAGATACAGTACCAGTACCGGTACTTCTATAGGCCCTGGGAATATCTAAATTCATAGTACTGTGCTATAATCCTGGTATAAACTTCCAATTACTATCCAATAAATCGCAGAACAGCAGAATTACTATGCCCCTACTCCCACAACTTACCGGTACGGTACCGACGCAGGGATGACTGACAGATGCCACGACCCCATACCTTATCCTAATGCCTCAGTATATATTTTCAGTTATTTCCATCAATAAAACCATTCCAAATACGCAAATAAATTTGAAAGGAAATCTCCTACCATAAGCTTCAGTATATAGCAAACTGATGACGTAGTAACGCATCGCTCATGCGTAGCGAAAGCGCCGTGGGCGAACTATATTCAGTTAACCATGCTAAAACTTTATAGACTTGATAGTGTGGAAAGCCTTCTCACAATGTAGTAATAATGGGACATATATTTATCATATCATTATACAGGCTTTAAGTTGAACTATATGTTTAATTAAAATATCCATCTTTGCTAGTAAATGCTGAAAACCATTTATTTCAATCTGCTGAGTGATTAGGGCCAGAAATTTGCTGTAGGGACCATCACCAAGGCTGGATTTACCAATAGGCTAGGCAGGCTGAAACCTAGAGCCTCGAAATTCGGTTTCGAAGTTTGTAATTTTTTTGAAAACTTGACAAGTTTAAACCCTACGAAACGTATATATATATATATCAAGCTTTTCAGAGTGGAAAATTCTGTACACAACTGGTTTCAACCACAGCATCATAATAAGGGAAATTATTATTATGCGCATTCTGCTGGAAGTTTCTATGTTAAAGTATGACTGTAGCGGTTGTTTGATCAAAGAAATTGAAAGCAAAACTGCCTCAAGTAAATTTTTATTCCTTTAATTAAAAATTCACACCCATGAAATGGGTGAATGAAAATTTTAATGCACTCATATTTTTAAATTTTAAGCAATGACATGTGGTGTTGTTTAGAGAGGAATTCTGAGCTCAAAAATATAAAGGGGCCTCTCATGGTCTAAATCCAGCCCTGAACATCACCAATTTTGGGATAGGTACATGGTGTCAACAAGACAACATATGAACTGAGTTAGGCCATTGGATGTTGAAAGGTGTACCAGAAATGTACATAGTTGCATGGAATATCAAAAAAGATGTAAAAAATATTCTATTTTCAAAACTGCTCACGTATACAATGAAAGATATCTAGAAAATTACAAAAAATGCAAATTTCTGCTCTGGTGATCACATTCCCCATAAGAGCTAATGTTAAAATTGTTTTTTTTTTTACATCACTTTTCTTTTTGTGCGTAGGATGGGTTTTAATGAATAAGGTCTATTGAAATATCTCGGTGATCCGTCGTGGATACCGGTATGGAGGGTATTCATTATCGCCGCTGAGCGTCGCCATTTTGTTTTATGTGGGCATGCGCAGGAAAGTACTGTCTTCTGCTTCCCCGCGACGTTGGACTGGTTTGGGCTTTTCGATTGCAATGGCGGCTCGTGCGTCTGGTGGTTCCAAATTGCATTGCTGCGTACCGTTGTGTAATGGCGATAGCCGTTACTCACCAGACTTATCGTTCCACTCTTTCCCCAAAAATGAAAAAATGAAGAGAGCGTGGATTCACAGTATTCGTCGCGATCCTGGTAAACATTTTCAAGTAAGTCAGTATATTGTGGCAAATATTTTTTTCTTCTGGTTTTAATTTTAGTTTTGACCCTGATTTTCTCTTCTCGCTTCTACTTTAGTTATTAGGCTATATATATGCGGTTGTAGGTCATATGTGAGTGTATTTAAGGTGAGCACAGCCCACGACTTTCTTTTGCAATTTTAGCAACAATTAATTTAACTAATGATTTGGTTTCTACGAGACTAACTACTTATCCTTCTTCTATGCTTTTGTTCCGGCGGATCGGTATGCATATAATGCAAGGATGCTGTAGCAAGAGTAAAGATAACTATCCTAAGTGATTTAAGAGTCTTGCTGTGAGTCTTAGTGTGCAGCAAGACTATTGAATCACTTAGTTAAATTAATTTAACTTCTGCTCTTTTCAAATCTTAGTTAGGGCTCTTATGATTCTGTAAACTAATAAGTGTTTATTTTGTCAATATCTTCCTGGTGTACTGATTATGGGAATCAAGCTAAACTTAATAACCTATATTATTATTAGGTGGCATACATTGAAGCCTAGTTTCACTTTAGTTGGTGTTATTTATTCAGTTCGTATCAGCTAGTTTCTTTTGACTTATTAAAACAGATTACACCAAGCACGCGAGTTTGTGGCAACCATTTCAGACCCGAAGACATATATGAGACGCCTCCTGGTCGACGCCGTTTGCACCACAACTCAGTTCCATCAAAATTTAGTTGGACAAAGTTAATTGCAGAGAAACCACTGCCAAATAGACTGAAGTAAAACAGAATATATCATTTTTTAAATTAGACTATACCACCATACTAGTATCAAACCAAAATTTAAAATTAACCAATTTTAAAAATATTTTGACAGACTATAAAAGTCTAGAATATCAGGGTGGTCCAACATTGTCGGCTCCGCGGGCCACAAAATTATTTTTGCATTGTTCGCGGGCCACAATAGTGCCAAGAATAGGTAAACAGTGCAATACAAAATAAACACTTTCATTGTGCAAACACATAGTTATAAGACATAGCCTGCTCTGGCTAATAGAATCCGTATTATATTGTTAGGCCTGATTACATGTCCATCAAAATCAGCCCAGCGAACCGGTTCGGTTTGGAAAAGTCAAAGTAGTCTCGGAGACCACTTAGCGACCTCGATTACATGTCCAAACCAACAAGATGAAAACCGTTTTAGGGTTTTATGACTAAAGCAATTACGTCATGATTTGCAAACACTGCATATATATATTTTATTTTCGATAAATTCAATACAAATGTTAATTAAAGTATCAAAATTAAATGCACGTTCTTGATTGAAGTTCTGTGAAGTTATTTGCAGAATATGATGAGGGGTTGCTTTCCCGTTGAAATTCGCCCATAGTCTGAAAACAAAACGACAAATTAATTGGGGGCATAAAAGATAGACGAGTTAGATCATTTTGGCCGACTATTCAGCGTTCAACGTTACAGAGAACTGGCACCTTACGCCACACGACCCGATCAAAAAATCACGGTAGGCCCAAATTAGAAACAGTTACATTTTATCAACCAAACACTTTGTTTGAAGTGAGCTCATTATATGTAAACAGAAGCACTTTCATTATTTAATATCGCCCTACTACTGCGACGTTACCGACACTGAAGCTTTCAATTTGTGCCGGTATGCCTATGTACAGTAAGGGTACCGGTGTCAGCTAGGATGAGGTATGGCTGTTTGGTAAAATTCCAAAAAAATTTCAATGCAAATTGAAGTTTATCAACAGAAGTCGTACTGCGCTCAGTTTATATCAATAAATATTTGGACATTAAGAATTAATTCTCTGTTTCAAAACAACAACCTGTCATGCCAATATCACACGCCGGGATCCCACCAGTACCGGTATTTCAAATTTGTGTTCAACAGCGACACAAAAGATGCGGAATGGGTTTAAATTAAACTTGCACTATCTAGCTAAATTTTTATTTGCTGAAAAAAGCAACTCACTTACCAGAGATGAAATAGAAAACAACTTCCGTAACCCCTTCGATCACGGCGATTCACGATTTCTCGAGTAGCACGGCGAAGCAACTGAGCAAGACCAGTGCAGCTCACTTCCAGACCAGACCTCCTCTGTAGGAGGTCTGATGTTCTGGACCGATAGCACGGATTTGAATCGCAGGCGAACCACTGAAGCGTGAATATGTGGTCTGCGAGACCGGTTCCAGCGGACATGTAATCAGATAGAGGGCCAGATACTAATTTAGACTACCAAGCACATCATTCAACTTTGCTAGTTGCCTCACAGCTAGCCATAACACTAGTCAATTCAGTGCCATTAGAGATGTAACAATATGTAAAAAATATTTTTCTGAATAATTTTATTACGAAATGCGATTTTTTGATTCTCTCCGAATGTGATGCGGGCCACAGATAATGGAGTGGCAGGCCACATGTGGCCCGCGGGCCTGGGTTTGGACCACCCTGGTCCAGATTCAACTCATTTGAAAAAAAATGACTCACAAACTTTCAGCAACACTGAAACGCGCAAAAATACAATTTTGTTTTTGATTTACACATATACATGCAATGCAGAGGATTCAATACTAATACTTGAAGCTGTAATTTGGATACAATATGACTTTTCACCGATATCTGGTTCGTCACATAATTGAGCTGTCTTATCATCCTTCCTTTCCCCAGGATATGTGATTTCTTTGCTAATGAATTTTATTATATTTGTTCAGAACAACTGATGATGCCACTGTACCAAGCAGTCGGACCAGCAGTCTGAGTTTTAATCACACTAATCCTACTCAAGTGGATCACAACTACTGCATTGTAGTGGAAACAACTGAAGAAAAACTTGAGCAAGCTTTAAAAGAAATTGAGAATTTAAAAACTCAAGTTTCAAAGCTGTCAATATCTAAATTCGGTATGGAACGTTTCTAGGCGTCAAGCTCCATGATTAAATATTATACTGGCTTTAGTTCCTATCGTTTATTGATTGACTTTTTCAACATATTGTTGGACTGTGCTAACTCTTCAACACTATGGTCTGCTGTAAGCGAAGAAGTTTATAATGGAAGTAGCGATTTTTTAGACCACCCTTGTAAGAAGCGATCGCTTCCACTGGCTGATGAGCTGTTTTTATTTTTGTGTCGTCTGAGACAGGGATTTGATGAGATCCATCTTAGTGATGTTTTTTGCATATCACAATCCACTGTCTCTCGGATAGTTATCACATGGGCTAATTTTCTTTATTTTACCTTGGCGTCTATCCCAATTTGGCCTACTCGTGAGCAGGTTTATGAAAATATGCCACAGTGTTTCAAAATCCAAGGTTATGGAATATGGATCTACACGCATAATCCTTGACTGTTGTGAAATTTTATGCCAGTCACCATCTTCACTCATGTTCCAAAGTGAGTTTTTTTTATTTAAAAAAAACCATACAACATTAAAATGTTTATTGGGTATTGCTCCCCATGGTCCAATAACTTTTGTCAGTTTATTATTTTGCGGTAGCATATCAGACAGTGAAATAACCCGGAGATCTGGAATTTTGAGTTTGCTTGAAAGAGGGGATTCCGTAATGTGCGACAAAGGATTTGCCATCAGGAGTCTCTTGAAAGTGAAAGGTGTGGGTCTAAATATTCCTCCATTCAACTTTAACGGGCGGTTCACATATGATGAGGCATTGCGGTCCAGCAAGATTGCTTCACTTAGAGTCCACGTAGAACGAGCAATCAGAAGGGTGAAAGAATACCAGTTATTCGAAGGCAGAATACCACTGAGTATGCTAGGAACAGTTAATCAACTATGGACCGTTGCTTGCTTATTAACCAACTTTAGCGGTCCTTTGTTTTAGAAGTATTATTATGTTTTATTTTTCAGTTTTAGTTTGTTTAATGTTGAATAATTATTTTGAGTTCGAGCAGTTTAGTTTATCAAATACATTCAGGACATATTTTACGTTCCTTTAAAGATCTTAGCTTTGTTAGAATATACAGCAGATGGTGTGGGTGTTACAACATTATATTAGGTTAACAGTAAAAGAAAAGGAAAAATTCAGAATAGCCTTTTGTACTGCCTGTCTCACCTGTTTTCAACAAATTGCACTATGGCGAATACACAAAATACTAATTTATTGAAAAATAGTTGAAAGCCCAAAGCAACTGGTTACTACATACTAAATTTAAAGCAATAAAATACATAAATGCCTAGGCAAGTTTTTTCTCTTGATATATATTTATCCTTCAGACATATTACAAAGTGAAAAATTTTTGTCCTCAAGATGACATGTTTGTTGCAACCGTATTTATGAAATGATCATAAAAAAAGGATTCCAGACGCATTTGTAGGTCCAGAAAAAATGCATCATCAAAATATATGCGATCAATAAAACATGCACCCAAAGGTAAGAGAATAATGATGTCACACCACTTGAGTCCTGTGATTCTTAAACACCCCATTATTTGAAAATAATAATCATGATTCATTTTCAATGTCCATTCCCCTTTATCATTTTTAAAAAGACAAGAAACCTTGTCAAAAGTGTCAGACATAGGGCATTTGACTTCTAATAAGCCATAGCATAGGTTGCCATCACAAGATGGGTCGTAAACTTTGCGAACTGGTGAACACCCCAACCAGGGACAAGTTGAAGATATTACCAATCCACATGGGGAACACTGGTATTTTTTTATTTCATCGCATAATTCTACTGCTTCTGGTTCCATTTGGATACCTCTTTTCATCGCTGCAGTTTGAAAAAATTTGGAAGAAGTAAGATTTGAAGCAAGGGAGTCAAAATTTGAAACACGTTTATAAATTCGGCCAAATTTGGATGCTGTAATTCTAAATTTTCGTTGTTGGGGCCAAATCGGAGAGTTATACTGATTTCGAGTCATAAATTCAATGTGTTTACAATCTTCTCTGCCCAAAGTCAGATTTTGCATCACTTTGTGTTGCATTTCTGTTAACACCGTGTTAGTCTCTGGAGACAAATTAGACAGAGGGAGAGGAGGGAATTCAAAACTTTTCTCATCACATATCTGCTGATATGCTAGAAGATGGATTTGACGGCAAAATTGTATTTAACCGAATATTATATTGACTAAAATTTAGAAAGCTCTGCCATTGCGGGATTCTTCCAGGTTTGTGTAGAGTGCTGCGAATTGTTCTGATGTATTTTGAACATGGATTTGAATAATAATTTTTTTGGATAGGCAGCTGCTTGAATTCTTCGCTTCTTGGATGATGCCATGATTGTAATTGAATAGTGCCAGTGATAGCTGGGGGGGGGGGGACTTTCTTTAGTTGGAGATTGCTGAAATGCGCAGTGCAGTACAACAATGCTAAAGAATGACAGCAAATTGCTTCTCCCACTGTACAAGAGCAAGTAGCACTCAGTACATTGTTCCGTCGCAAAGTTACAAATAATGAATGAGGTGGCTCGTTTTTTCTTTGTGATCGATAACATCTTGTCGTTATTAAAAAAATCTGACCATGTTGGAAAACTGTGAAAATAATAATGCATATTAGTGATAAGTGACAGCTTAATTTGCTTTCAATGGTTGTTGCATATTCAGCATGGTTTAATCGAAACCTAGGTGTAATGAGATTAGATAGTTGATTTATTTCAAACTCCTCCATTGTACAAAAATGCCAACAGCAGACGGAGATTCCAAGAAAACTGTGTAAATTATAAGCTGCCCCTGCCTAAATAAATAGGTAAATCCTGAATAGCCCATGAATAAATGTACATCACAAGTCATTATTTACTGACGTTCTTAATGCTTAAAATTATAACAGTGGTTGTCCCGCTCGCTGAAAAATCTTACTTGCCCTACCTAACTTACCATATCTTTGTAATCGTGGATGAAAGACTCCCAGAAGTATTTGTATCCTCTCTTGGCGCTATTTCCATTCCCAGCATGCTTTTCAGCATATTCTGTAACGTCATCAAAACTAAAATCAGGAAGATATTTTAAATCGTCGCTAAAGATACGCTCAGCCAATACACAGACAGATAAAAAAAAACGCGCCAGAGTAACAATCGCGAAGTCGTCATCTGACGTCCTGCTCACTATCCAGTGGAAGCGCTAAAGAGGTGAATCCCCTCCATTATACCATGCCATGAATATACACGGAGAAATACGGTATTTATTTATGGAAGGGCGAGCAGGGGACTAGGAGTCACACTACGGAGAGGACGTGAGGTTCTAAATCCAGGATCTGAAGTCCGGGCAGTTTGGATAAAAAATGAGGGGAAATTAAGTGGGAAGTGCCCATGCGGTGCTCGTTACGGTGACCTACTGGCAGACTGTACTGACTAAGCGTTTTCTTGTCTCTACTAGAAGGGTTAGAAAAGTGGTTCAAACCTAAAACTTCATTGAGAATAGATATATTAAATTATAGTATATATATAAATAGTATTGATAAATTTTCAATAATATGTGAGATAGATATTTTTTGGCAATATTCACAACCGGACTCTGCATTCCCTGTCATAAGGATTACCTGGTATTGCCATATTATTTTAAATGGGAACGGCTTTGCGTTTAGTGAACTTGTGACTGGCTATGGACTATATTTCTTTATTACTCACTTATGGTATTTACTAACTCTGTACCACATACCAGTATTCGATTTGGTAATTCTCATAAAATTTTAATATATGTAAATATTTCTTTTTCTAATTTTCTTAGTGTATCCGCATGCTTAAGTAATTTTTCTTAAGTTTCTTGCATTTTTATTTTATTATATCTATGCCTAGTCTGTACCTTGCTTTTTTTCGTTTGGTTTCACTTATACTTCGATTATGCCCTAGTTTACACTATCCTGCCATCAGTTTTTTTATTCATTTTCTCAATTCATTCAGACGGTTGGGCCAACTTACATCATTTACCCAATACAAATGTATTTAAATTCTCACAAACTAATATTTATAACCACCGGACCTTGAAATATTTTCTACACAGCTTCAGCAGCCAATACTATCAATAACACAGCTAATGCTAAGCTCTGGCGGCTACTTTGCAAACAAGAGAGAAATTCTTAAATTCAAGGACACGAAGGTTTAATAACTAACCACAGAAAATTTACTTCCCACCCCATCTCCAAGAAATGTAATTGTGATAACAAAATCTTTTTCATATGTAAATAAGTCTTCTTGGATTGAGAATGCAACCTACAGACTGCTGGACTGACAGACTTACTTCAAAGTTGCAAACGAAACAAACTTTCCACTTGGTTTAAGAATACAGGAGTTCGATAATACGACTCCAAAACTTATAAATAAGTGAAAAAGGCTGACCTCACAGTACTGCGTCTGATGTTTATCTTTTTCAGTGCTGATTTGCTGCATATTTGGCATATATCAACACTTTTGAACGGTTTCTTTAGCCTGCTAATGGAATATTTTTTGTCAGTTTTAGAGACTAAGAATTTAAGAATAATACTGGATTAAAAAAATGGCTCATCTTGATAAAATATTTTCCTATATTGACGAACATCAAGAGGTCTATGTCAAGAGATTGGCAGAGACTGTCGCGATACAGAGTGTATCCGCCTGGCCAGAAAAAAGACCCGAAATTACGAAGATGGTGCATTATGTTGCAGATTGGATAAAGAAGATAGGTGGGAATGTAGAGCTTGCGGATGTCGGAATGCAGACCCTACCAGATGGAAGTAAAATTCCGCTCCCTCCTATCATATTGGGAAATCTAGGTGCAGATCCAAAGAAGAAGACAGTATGCATATATGGTCATCTTGATGTTCAACCAGCAAAGAAAGATGATGGGTGGGACACAGAACCTTTTGTTCTAACAGAAATCAACGGAAAAATGTTTGGCCGAGGTTCCACTGATGACAAAGGGCCTGTTCTGTGTTGGCTCAATTGCATTGAAGCTTATCAAGCGTTAAAACAAGATATTCCAATCAACATTAAGTTCTGCTTTGAAGGAATGGAGGAATCTGGTTCGGAAGGTCTTGATGATCTAATATTTTCGAGAAAGGATTCATTTTTCAGTGATGTGGATTATGTCTGTATATCAGATAACTACTGGCTGGGAAAGAACAAGCCATGCATTACATATGGCTTGCGTGGAATCTGTTACTTTTTCTGCGAGGTACAATGCGCTACAAAAGATCTTCATTCAGGTGTTTTCGGAGGTAGTGTACAAGAAGCAATGGCAGATCTCATTGCTATCATGAATTCGTTGGCTGATAAGAATGGAAAGATCCTTATTCCTGGCGTTAATGAAGCAGTTGCTCCGGTAACAGAAAAAGAGAAGGAGCAATACAAGACCATCGATTTTGATCCAGTGGATTACATAAAAGATCTTGGGGCTGAGAGGCTTCATCACTCAACCAAGGAAGAAATTCTCATGCACAGATGGAGATTCCCTTCTCTGTCCCTTCACGGCATTGAAGGAGCTTTTGACGGCTCTGGTGCAAAAACCGTGATACCCAGAAAAGTCATTGGAAAGTTTTCGATTCGTCTTGTCCCCGATCAATTGCCTGAGCAAATAGAGAAGGATGTTAAGGCTCATGTGAACAAGGTGTTTGCCGAACGTGGTAGCTCAAACAAGCTCTCTTTAACAATGGGGCATGGCGGAAAACCATGGGTTTCAGATCCAAATCATCCTCATTACGTGGCTGGAAGGAAAGCTGTGAAAAAAGTTTTTGGCATCGAACCAGATCTTACAAGAGAGGGAGGCAGCATTCCTGTCACTCTTACATTCCAAGAAGCAACTGGAAAAAATGTAATGTTGCTTCCCGTTGGTGCTTGTGATGATGGTGCTCATTCCCAAAATGAGAAGTTGGATCGTTCTAATTACATCAATGGAGTCAAACTGCTTGCTGCGTATTTCCATGAAGTATCCCAGCTAGCATAGATTCATGCTATGAACCATATTAATCCACTCACCTATATGCCTATGAATCCATCATAAATGCAATTCCATGTATTTACTTTTTCATTAATTCATTGCCTAAGATTTATGCAGAATATGGAGCATAATTTTCATCTTCTTCATTCCGCCGTTTATCATTGTTTTGATCTATGTATGTTTAATTTTGCCTTCAGTGTTTTATGTCTAATAATACAGTTTGTTACTGATTGAAATTATTTACCAAGTTCAGAGAACAGATGTTTTTTCATATTACTTTCCCACTGTTTCAGCCATTTGCCCCCAGAAAAACATCCCATGATCATGCTTGAGTTCTACTTCTAGCTGATACAAACTGATTATCATCAGATTATTATATACATATAATCAATTCTTCAAAGATAAAAAATTGTTATTTAGTTAGATGTCAGACCAATATGAACTTTATTGCAGGTTTTCTCAAGTTGATTTGAAAATAGGCTGAGCACTTACATAAAAGTCAAAAATCAATTTTAGTTTGTTTCCTTGTTAAATGGCCTGTAATCTAAATGAGCTGTCTATTGCAGATATATCTAAGCCTACATACGGACATGAACTTGATCGGGCTTGTAGTATTTGGTTTGGAGCAGTAATAAAGATTGTTGTACAGAATTGGAGTTGAAAATATGAATTGAATGCTGTGAACTTGCAATTTTTCATCTTGTTGAACTTCTCTAAAGTTTCTGATCGACATTTTTATATTACTGTATTCTTTTGACTTTGATTTCTACCAAAAACTTGTAAATTTTGTTATTACTTATATTTGAGTTAAAATTTGTATATTTGGTGCAGCATTACTGCATATTACTATGTGATAACAGATTAATATTTTTGAATTTTCATTTCCAGTTCCATTTTCCAATACTGTTGAACTGAAACACTCTCGAAAGGATTCATATGACTTCCTGACATGTTGTTTAATTTTGATACACTCCTATGAAAGTCTTTATTAATATTATATGTTCACAATATTTCAAATTAAAAAAAAAACAATAGATAATTCTAAATATAGCTGTATTGAGCTTTTTGATTTTATTTCTATATTACAGGCTAATTTGCCATGTATTTCATTATGATTGACTCGTTTAGTGTTAGTGTGCAAGTAGATTTAATTATAGATAATGTTCAATTTCTTTTTGATTAGTTATATTTAGTTTTATATTAGTGATGGTTTGTTAGTGACCAAACTATTAAATGAAAAAGAAGTTCCAACATGGTGTGATTTTGTTTGATATTCCAGAAATGGAAGGTCTTAAAGAAGAATACAAGAATGGCTAATGGAAGTGAATATTAATAACTGAGGGCATAAGAAATTTGATTCTAGTCTATTTCAAATCTGAAAGTCTTTCAGAATTTAGGAGATGGAAGTGCACACACAATTGCATGGTGTTGTTTCAAGGATACTCATTTACCAAGCCATCAAATTTCTATTATTTCGTTCAATCACTAATATTCAAACACGTCATAAAAATGTTCTTTGTTTGTTTTCGTCAAAGAGCTCATTGCTTGACCTAGCTGAAGCATAGTGTGCTGAGGTAGGTAATGTAAAATAAAGTTGTAGATTTTTGATAGATCATCAATTGGAAATTATGACATGTGTAATATTTTTTTTAAATGTTTTCTTTCACATATAGATTTTAACTAATTTAGTGGTTTTGTCCACTTTCAGAATATGGACAAATTTGTGACATTTCACGATAATGTTATTTGATATTCATCACAAAAATTTTATGGTGTTTTTTAAATGTTAAAAATTCAGAGCATTCATATATCACTTTGTATAGCATTGCGCAATATATTGAATGACAAGGGTATGCTTCTATGAAAATCTGGAACCCGAGTTAGTAATACATGTAGAACAGGAGAATTCATCTTTAATTGAATTGCTTTTTATATTTTCTCATAAAAGTGTTCAAAAAATGTCCACCAGTATGTCACATCTGAAAGATATTTTTTCCTACATCGGCAAGATGTGTATGTTAAATGACTTGCTGATGCGGTAGCCATAAAGAGCATATCTGCGTTTCCAGGCATGAGAGAATGATAAACTACATTGCTGACTGGATAAAAGATTTAGGTGGAAATGTCGAGATTTGTGATGTGGGAATGCAAACATTGAATGATGGGACCTGGATTTTATTACCTCCTGTGATTCTAGGAAAGATGGGTTCTGATACCACTAAAAAAATTATTTGTGTGTATGGTCATCTTGATGTACAACCAGCAAAAAAAGAGGATGGATGAGACACTGAACCATTTCCGCTTACTGAGATGGATGGGAAGTTGGTTGGTAGGGGTGCTAGTGATGATAAAGGCCTAGTTTTGTGTTGGTTAAATTGTATTGAAACTTATCATGAGTCGAAATGCCGGTGAATGTTCGATTTCGTTTTGAAGGGATGGAAGGGTGTGGTTCTATAGGACTTGATAATAAATTGAATCGCGAAAAGAATTATTCTTTAAGGATGTTGATTATATATGTATCTCTATTCTCTGATAACTATTGGGTCGGAAAGGAAAAGCCTTGCATTACTTATGGCCTGGGAGGTTTGCTATACTCCGCTTGTGAAATTCAATGTTCAAGCAAAGATCTTCATTCTGGAATATATGGAGGAAGTGCATGAAGCAAAGACAGATTTGATAGCCATTATGGATTCACTCACAGACTCAAATGGCTCCATTTTAATATCTAGTGTAAATGACTCTGTTGCCAAAGTAACAGATGATGAGAAATGCTATTGATTTTGATGCAACACTTTTTAATAAAGAAATAGGCGCTAATAAACTACTTCATGATACAAATGAGGACATTTTAATGCACAGATGGCGTTACCCTTCTTTATCCTTGTATGGTATTGAAGGTGCATTTGATGGATCAGGAGCCAAAACTGTAATACCAATTAAAGTAACTGGGAAATTTTCAATTAGATTAGTTCCTGATTAAGATATTGATCAAGTTGAGGTGGCTGTTACACATCATATTAAAAGTGTGATGCAAAATCGCAAGAGTCAAACATATTCAATATCTACATTTTGCAACGTGGAAAACCTTGGATTGCAGATCCGAATCATCTTCATTTTATTGCTGGAAGAAATGCAGTAAAAAGAATTTATGGAATTGAACCAGATTCAACAAGAGAAGGTGCGAGTATCCATGTGACACTGACTTTGCAAGAAATCACAGGGAAAAATACAATGCTCCTTCCAATAGGGGCATGTGATGATGACGCTCAATGAAAAATGAGATAAAATGAATTATATAAATGGTACAAAACTAATTGCGGCATATTTTCATGAGGATTCTTTATTACAGTAATAATATGGAATGTAATATTGGCCACATTGCAATACTGTCTATTTAACTCTAGTTAATGTATAACTTAGCTTTTTAAAATGCGTAAATTTCGCGCAAATATTGACAGTTAGACCATGTACTAGTTACGGTACTGCGGTATGTACAATGAAAATGTTTTGCTGACGGTGTATGATGCTGATGTGTATCTAAATTGAATTGCTTAGTAAACAATCTTTTTAGTTTTTTAAGTCATAAGCCATTCTGCTGAAATAACAATTATTTATTGCGGTATCGATTATGGCTGCGTTTGCGCAAACAATAGCCTTTGGCATTTTGCAACTTGTCTTATGACAAATTGCATGTGATATGTTGTAATACATAACGCAACATTGTTTTTTGTTCATTTATGCACAAATATGAATTTTATCATGTGATTCAGAAATTTTTAGAAACATCAAAGTTTTTTTTTTTTAAATAACTTATGTCTACTCATTTCTGGCCTAAACTTTGCATATGAAGAGATGCAATTGCAATATACTCATCTTTGGTTGTTCAGTCACCTAAATACTGCGAAAAACCTTTTTCTTCTTTATTGAATTCTTTTCCATTTAGTTGTTAGTCATACTGTCTGGTGTCAAACCGCTATCTACCAATATCTCTATCGCATTGATCCATTTTAGCATCGATATCTCTAGAACCCATCATTAAATTGGGCTTACATTAGCAGAAGCCATCATTATGGTCGAGACAAAATAGCACTTTGTAATGTGTAATACACAAGTCTAGTACATGCTATATACTGATATATTTGTTCAAATTCTATGAATGAACTATAAATAAATCATTCTGATCACTTTGCTGGTTTATTGCGCTGCTTTAAGGCAGTGGTCGTCAAACTTTTTGAGACGCGACCCCATTCCAAAAATTATGACGTTTGATAAGCTTGTGACGCCTAGGTATGGCAAAGAAAAAAATATTTCAAACCACTAAGATCTAATCACACTAAAATCTCATTCTCATTCACATGCTTTAGATTTCGTGTTACAATTTAATTATTGCCGTCACACAATAGCCTTATTATAAAAGATATCACTGTAATTCAGAATACCCAAACTTGCTATGTAGTGCTAGTCAGCTCAGTGTAGAATGCACGCAATAGAATAATGAAAAATATAACAAGAATACAACGCCGGACACTCGGCGACCTCCGAAATATTCAAGGCGACCCAACTTGGAGTCGCGACCCACACTTTGGTGACCACTGCTTTAAGGTATCAAGGCTGTTTAGGTAAAAAAAGTATAAACAATTTATGCAAAATTAAGATGAAAATCTTAAGATATCATTACAATATTTTCTACCTCTTTTTTCATTTAAGGTCTTAATATTTTTACAGCTATTATTTCAATCATGTCATATCTAGATAATATATTTTCGCACATTGACAAAAACCAAGATTTGTATGTCAAACGTTTAGCTGATGCTGTAGCTATAAAAAGTGTATCAACATGGCCTGAAACACGAACGGAAGTTGTCAAAATGATAGAAGTTGTTTCTGAACAGATTAAAAAATTAGGAGGAAATGCAGAGCTTGTTGACATTGGGGTGCAAACTTTGCCTGATGGTTCCAAAATTCCTTTGCCTCCAGTTTTATTCGGAAATCTAGGGAGTGATTCGAAAAAGAAAACAGTATGCATCTATGGTCATCTTGATGTTCAACCAGCAAAGAAAGATGATGGATGGGACACAGAACCTTTTGTTTTAACAGAAATCGACGGAAAGATGTTTGGCCGAGGTTCCACTGATGACAAAGGGCCTGTTTTGTGTTGGCTTAATTGCATTGAAGCTTATCAAGCATTGAAACAAGATATTCCAATCAACATTAAGTTCTGCTTTGAAGGAATGGAGGAATCTGGATCGGAAGGTCTTGATGAATTAATAGAATCACAAAAAGATATCTTCTTCAAAGATGTAGATTATATTTGCATCTCTGATAATTACTGGCTTGGAAAAAAGAAGCCATGCATCACATACGGCTTGAGAGGTTGTTGTTACTTTGCATGTGAGGTGGCATGTGCGAAGAAAGATCTCCATTCTGGTGTTTTTGGTGGAAGCGTACAAGAAGCCATGGCTGATCTCATTGCAATAATGGATTCTCTCACTGACTCACAGGGAAATATTTTGATACCTGGAATTAATGAACAGGTAGCCCCTGTTACAGAAGCTGAACGACGTCTTTATGAGACTATAGATTTCGATCCTGATGTCTATCGCAGAGACATTGGTACAGAAAAGCTTCGATTTACAAACAAAGAAGATATTCTTATGAAAAGATGGCGGTATCCATCACTGTCTTTACATGGGATAGAAGGTGCGTTTGATGGTGCTGGTGCGAAAACTGTGATACCAAGAAAAGTTATTGGGAAATTTTCAGTTCGAATAGTGCCAAATCAAACACAGGAACAAGTTGAGAAAGATGTTATTAAGCACCTTAAACAGGTATTTGCGGAACGAAACAGCTCAAACAAGCTCAATGCATATATGATACATGGAGGAAAACATTGGCTGGCTGATGTTGACCATCCACAATATATAGCAGGCAGGAAAGCCGTGAAAAGAGTTTTTGGAACCGAACCAGATCTAACGCGAGATGGATGTAGTATTCCCGTTACCTTGACATTTCAAGAACAAACAGGAAAAAATGTCATGCTATTGCCCATTGGTGCATGTGATGATGGAGCACACTCACAGAATGAAAAACTTGATAGATTGAATTATATAAACGGAACGAAGTTGGTTGCAGCTTACTTCCACGAAGTTGGAATGATATGAGTGTTTGTTGATAATACTCTACAAAACTACATCAATTTAATTATTCACCAGCAGACAGCAAACAATAAAATGATCTTTCCTATGCGAATTAATTTATGTAATGCTGTTTACATCCTCAATATTTTTGTAGAATTCTGCATTAACTATCAGTAATTAGTATAATTTTTGTGCAATATTTTACCTAAAATAGTCAAAAATGAATTTTCTTCCTAATATATTAATCCTCTCATTTCACCTTTATAAATATGTCATCGGATTTAAAATGTGTGGAACACAATTCAAATTTTTTGAGATCGAATCATAAAAAGCAATACTAATTAATAGAATGTAGTATTTGACATTATAACTTGTTTCTTTGCATTTCACATTTTCACAAATGTCATAAAAATTTTGAATTGTAATTGTCTCACAAATTTATGCATCTGACTTTCCAGAATTTGAGTCAAATCATATTTCAGATGTAAGGTTTATTCAAAATTACAAACGAGCAATAGATAAAATGAAGACTTGTGACCCCGATCATTCACGTGGAACTAGATTACGGTAACGAGCGTGGGTGAAAGTGAAATTCTTTAGTATATATTAGTGTTACTGTTGCCCAACCCTAGTGTTAGTTATTTTTAAAATAAAGAGCTTCAATATTTCTGTCTTGCTTTAAAAAACTATTATCAGTGGACGAGTATATATATTACAGAAATTGTTTTTTAAAAATACAATGGAAACGATGCAGAATTTCTTTCAATAGTTATTTTCATCCCAAGAAGTTATACTGTAACAATTTAATTATCCATATTTTCATCTTCAGGCTATTAAAGAGAGATCAAAACTGTTAAATTTAAATCTTCTAAATAGCATTTAAATAGTTATTATGGATCCTGAAATCCATGTTAATAAAAATCCTTCATTGGCTGATGAAGCCATCGATATATCTCTAACAGGTGAGAAGCTTTTGAATTTTCGAGGGCTTCGATATTGAAAATTATAACAAGACTCGTTAATAAAGTTAAACTAATTTTCATAAAATTTCCCATATTGTGACAACAGTGTATTTTATTAGGATAGGATTTACCTATTTATCCTGGGGTAGAGGAAAGCCGATAAAACAGCTTTACCATATGCCGAACCACAGCCTCTCGTCCTCTATTCAGAATAATGTCGTCAGTAGGTTTATAGTAAATGATGTGGCCTTTTAAAAATTACGAATGAGAGCATGGTAATCATCAAATTTACATACTATGACTGCTTAATGTATTTTAGTAGACATTGAAAGTGTAATAAGTTTTGATGCCCCAAAGCTTTTCTAAATATAAAGATCTGTAAATTACCTCAGCTAACTATATCGGTGCTTTGCAATATATTTCCAATATACATTTACTTGGGAGCATTAGGCACTGTTTATCAATCTAGGTAGTAATTAAATACCAGATGTTATTTCATATAGTATTATGGTAATTTATCACAATTTTAACCATGTTTTTTTGTTTGCATATAGGTTTGAACAAATTTCAAAAAGTTTCTCTTCATGCCAAGTCAAAACTAGCCAATGGGGCTGTGTTTGAAAGCACATCACATTACATTGCAGATAATTTGGGTGAATATATAACATATCTCAATATTAGCATGAGTTTCCTATGCTAGTATTTGGCAACCCAACCCATAAAGTCCCAATATCCAAAATGATAAGATTTTTGCTTTATATGTTGTACTCAAAATTTTGAGTTGCATTAAATAATTTTGTGACTGGTATTTTGAGTGATTTGTTATTTCCGAATAAATGTTCTTGTTGTCCTTGAAACGGTAACATTATCCCCTTGTTTTGTGGCGATTGAAGTTAATGCTGATTTTTATAAGACTGCTCTCCCACAATCCTTGTTTTGCTATCTTTTGATAAAACTGTAAATTGATATTTCTGTCATTGTCAATTGTGTATCATAAATATTAATATAAATATACATTCCATATTAATTTCCTTTCCATTGTAATTTTTTTATGCCTGGTTGTTTTCACATTTACGGTTGACAATGTGCTTGGAACAAAAGTGTTTTTCATTTTAAATTCATGTCCTGGCATGTTGTACTTTGTTGAATCACCAATTTAAATTGTCTTTCCAGGGTGTATCGACCTACGTTCACATAAATCATATGGAGGAACTTATGAAGGAATTTGGCCAATGGGTCCGATTAGTTTCATGACACCGTCATCTTTTAATAAGGTTAATTTAATGATAAAATATAAATTTGGTGTGCATTTAGGTTTGACATTATACAAATTAAATTCATTGTCTATTTTTACAGCGCAAGCACGAGAGGTTTTTAATCAAGGACCCGATGAAGTCTTTCACAATAAAATTGCAAGTCTTTGATTCTTTCATCCCAGAAATGGTTGAAAATACGAACAAATATAAAAAGTTGACTGATTTTGACATCATAAGAACTTATGTCACTCCACAAGTTATTGAACAAGAAATTCATGAAGGCAAAATTAGGGGGACCCTATACTTGCCAACCAAGAGTGGGAAATACCCTGGTAAGTTATGATAAAGAAATGAGATGAAAAAAATTTGTCCTTGACATATACTCAGTTAAATAAATCGAATCAGTACTGTATGGCTATTGCAGCATTCCTATTTCACTCATTACTATAAACACGCTTCATCACATATAGGCAGGGCTGTCATCGATATGAACCAAAAAATAAGGACGTCAGGGGAATATAATAATAGAATAACAAAGAACGAAGTGTAATGAACAAAATTTTATTCATGCCACCCCCATGACTCCCATGATTTGCTATAGCAGTTCTTTATTCTTAGAAACTATATTTTCCATCTCACTCTTAAGTTGTATTTTGATTCAAGTTACACGAACTGATTTTGGCCGGTAGGCTACTGTTTTGTCATTGTGTCAATTAATTTGCTGTTATTATGTAATGAATGTGCGAAGCTATCAATGAGGTTGTAGAATATCATTTCTATCAAATCAATCATTCAAATTGATTCAAGCACCTGGTATTATTAGAACCTCTAACCATAAAATGTGGATCAAAATAAGAACACATGTTTAAATAAGGACGTTTCTTAGAAATAAGGACAAAAATATTTTCTAAGATAAAACCTTCAAAATAAGGACAAATCTTAGAAATAAGGATATCATGGCAGCCCTGCACATCGTCTCATAAAGTCTGGAAAAATTTGAATACTGGGCTGGGATTCACTATAGTTTTGTAACCTATGTATCATTGGATGGTTGTGAAGTGTGAAACATCTCACACAATAATTATTTCGCTGAAGATAAGTAATACCGTATATACTCGCAGATGGGTCGCAATTTTTTCCTTATATTCAAAAAAAAATATAGGTGCGACCAATCCGCTCAACATAACAATTTATGTGTGTATATGTTTTTGTCATTTCTCAAACAGGGTTAGGGGTCTGAATGTACTGGCAATGATATACAGGTTTGTAGCGCGCTGGTTATTCATGAAAATCATAAGGTCTGCGTTTGCGTACATGCACTTATTATTGCTCACAGGTGTCAATAAACATATAGGGAAAGGGCGAGTATATACGGTAATCAATGAGTGTTCTCATGAACCAATTATTTTTTTCCATGTTTTGCTTATGCCAAATGTTGGTACTATTAGGTTATTGCCCCACCACTTTTCTGAACTGTTTTCTTGGGTTAGGTTTCTCTGTTTATGTTACTAATCCCAACCTAACGATCGATAAACAGAATTAATAAATTTGGAATAGAAGAATGGTACCCAAATCTCACATAGCCTACATGTTTACTTTTTCTCGTTCAGGTGTGATAAGTATGAGTGGTGGATATCCTGGAGCTATGAAACACAAAGCGGCAATATTAGCGTCACATGGATTTGTTGCTTTAGCTTTAAGATATTTCGGTACCGATGATTTGCCTCCGTCTGTGGAAGGCATTGATTTGGCCTATTTTATTGAAGCTGCAAGGTTTTTAAAGAATCATCCAAATGTCCAAGGCAAAAATGGTGTTGGCATTATCGCAAATTGTGCTGGAGCTATCTTTGCCCTGGCTGCTGCAACATGTGCCCCAGATGGACTATTCGGCTGTGTTGTTGCAATAAGTGGTTGGTTTTTCTCATTTACAAATTTTGAATATGAAGGCAAGAAATGGAAATCAATGCTATCATTCAAAACTTTCAAACCTGGACCGGAGGGCACATATATATATGATTTTGATAAAAACGTAAACCCCTCTATGCTGTCCAGACTTAGTTTACCAGATGATAGTCATTTTGCTTTCTACAAACGACTCCACACTGCATATATGTTTGTTCATGGTGGTGAGGATGCTGATTTGAATAACAATTCTCTAAAATTGAGAGCGTTACCAGAGATTTTCTCAAATCTTACAACCATCCAAATTATCAATTTGTATTTTATCCTAAGGCTGGGCACTTGATTGAGCATGCATATTTCCCTTTTGCACGAATAGCATGGACATTGAAATTACCACGTTTCTTTGGAGGACAACAGCCTTATCATAGCATCGCACAAGAGGATTCTTGGCCGAAGATTTTGAAATTTGTGCAAACCAATCTGATGAAGAATTGCCATAAGTTATGATACTCTAGCATATATTTAGAGCAGAACGACATCTATGTATATTGCAATCTGTGTCAAATGACTGTATTATTTCTGATTATTATTTGAACTAGTGATCAAATCTTTCTAAATACATAATGTAGTTACTTGTAGTTACTTATGCAGTATTATCAAGCTATTTTTCACAACAAAATAATAACTACCTATCATATATTACTCTCTTAGCTTATATATTGCTTTAACTTAACTGAATATGAGTCAGCATTCAACTGCTTTCACTTTACCACATAATGTCTGATAAGAAGCCTAGAATATGTGTCAATAAAGATCTGTCACTTGCTGATCAACATATTGCAATTTCAATAGAAGGTATTGACAAGTGTTTATATTCCTATTATTGTTCACTAAGTTTAAATAATATATAATTTAAGGAACCTACGCAATAATCGATATTTCCATAGTGTGTGCACCAGGTTAGGCCATAATTTTATTCAGGTTTTCCTTTTTTAAGTTCTATTACAAGTTCGGGGACTGTCTGTGTTAGCCAAGTGTAATATAGGTTTCAGTCCCTTTACACAACTTGATGTGAAATAGGCGAACAAAATTAGTTACCGTCCATATGGATACACACACTTCTGGAGCACCCAATAATCATATCGATTGCCAGATACAATGAGTCATCAATACAACAACGAATCTCCTCTTGGGGCATTTTCAATAATATACTGATAAATAAAATGAGTGCTATGTTATGCACATATATGTTATAAAATAATTTAGATTTAAAATAATCGTACTTATTTATCATCAATTATTTTCGCATAATAACTCCCAAATTTGGTACTCTTTTCCCCGAATAATAAGTATCATTTTAATGCAGGACTGAATGCATTCCAGAGGGTGTCCCTGTATGCTAAAATAATCCTTCCAAACGAAGCAGCTTTCGAGAGCATATCAAATTATATAGCAGACAGTTCAGGTAAGATTGACAGCTCGACAAAACTCCAAATCTATATAAATAGGCATTTAATTACAAATTATTCAACGACCTTACAAATAATTCTTGTATTTGTCATTTTCAATTTCTCAACAATGTCTATGCAGCCATAGTATGGCAATTAAATTTATGAGCTACTCTACGTAGTTCTTGTTGCTCTAGTCCAGGAGTGTGCAACATTTTTTTGTCAGCGGGCCATATAACCAACTTCTGACATCTAGCTGGGCCATTCAAAAAATTCAATATCTTTCGAGTACACAATGAATTAAACATTTCTCACCACAAAAAGGCTATAGCATAGAAGACGAAAGACTTAAAACTATGGATTTTATTCGGTGTGTGCGCTTCTTTAAACATAAACTGCCAGGTTAGAATTTGATGCTTAGCGTGAAAATATCGGAGTGTTGACAAGGGCCACACATATTGTCTTGGGGGTAGGGTTGTGGCCCGCGGGCCGCCTGTTGCACACCCCTGCTCTAGTCTATATCAAAGATTCTCAAAGTGCTCCATAGGGAGCCCCAAGGCTCCGTGAGAGAAACCTGGGGACTCCGCGAGCTATTCATTTACTCATTGAAATACTAAATATTTCTTGAATACATCCCAGTCATTTTTAATTTACTCTGGAACATTAATCAGTACGGTAAGTAACGAATGTGTTTTTATAAATTTATTGTGGGGCTCTGTAAATAATAGTCAGACCCTTCACTGGCTCCATAACACCAAAAGTTTGAGAGCCACCTCTCTATATCATGAATTGCTATATTTTAAATTTCAGGCCGTATCTGTCTGCAGTCGGATAAATCATGTGGTGGAACATACGAAGGAGTGTGGCCAATGGGGCCGCTAAGCTCAATGGTACCATCAAGCACTAATGAGGTAAAATCCTATTTCTACATTTTTGAAAAAAAGGGTAATATGAATGAATTTTAATTTATCATCCTATATTTTAGCGAAAGTATGAGCGGTTTTTAATCAAGGACCCAATGCAACCATTCACAGTACACCTACAAGTTTATGATACTTTCATATCAGAGGTAGACAGTGTTCCCCGAATGAAACACAAACTTTTAACTCAACATGACATTATCAGAACATATGCTGCACCTGGTGTCTCCGAAATAGAAATATGGGAGGGAAGAATCAGAGGAACGCTATACATTCCATGTGGAAGCGGAAAATTTCCAGGCAAGTGAATCCTGAGGGGTCTATCAGGATATTGCCTTCCAAATCTGAATTAGTTAACAAGTATTCGATTATGCTGGGTGTGGCGTATCATGCTGAGCATTATATTACCAAGCGTGGGTTCCGATGTTCAAAATCCTGTGGGGTATAATTATGTGCGAGAGACAATTGCTGGACTCCTCACCGCTGTAACCGCTTGTCGATTACAGCTTCCCCCACCATCAAGTCCATGCATCTGAAAAAAAAATGACAAAACTATTCCCATGGACAACGGTACGCCATATGATTAACAGGTCTAACCGACTACCCTATCCCTCGAGATAAATAAGGAAATTTTATCCACATACTTGTCTTCAACCATGTCCTCCTCCCCTTATAACTGATCAAAGTGTTAGCCCGAGATTGTTGTATATATTTTTTTTTCACCAACTTCATTATGATTCAATTTAATAACGATATTTTATTTATCTAGGTGTGATTAGTATGAGTGGTGGATATCCAGGTGCCATGAAACATAAAGCAGCACTTCTTGCTTCACGTGGATTTGTTGCATTGGCTTTAAAATTTTTTGGGGCTGATGATTTACCTGGAAACTTTCAACAACTAGACTTGGGATACTTCGTAGAAGCAGCAAAGTTTCTAAAAAATCATGAACGTGTTACTGCCAGTAATGGTGTTGGTATAATTGCGAACTGTTCTGGAGCCAGTTTGGCACTTGCAACTGCTAGTTGTGCTCCCTATGGTCTCATAGGATGTGTCGTCGCAATAAGTGGTTGGATTCACTGCTTTGGACATTATTGGTATGAAGATCAAAAGTGGAATCCTTCTTCTTCAATGAAGAAAATAAAAATGACAATAGAAACAAATTCAGATGGTATTGTTGAATGGAGATATGACGTTGCCCCAATAATGTTCAAAGAAATACCAGAGGAAGGCAGCCATTTTGCTTTTTATAAACGATTACATACAGCATATATGTTTGTCTATGGCGGAAAAGATGGATATTTTCGTGACACTCCAGAATTTGTTAAAATGAATAAAAACCTTCTGATTTCTGCAAAACATCCTGCTTATAAATTTTTATTTTATCAAGATGCAGGGCATTTGATTGAGCATGCGTTTTCCCCTCTTGCAAAAGTCGCTTGGACCTTTCATGAACCTCATTTGAATGGCGGAGAACAACCCGGCCATGGCTTAGCGCAGGAAGACTCTTGGCCAAAAATTTTGCGATTTGCTTATGACAATCTGACAACAAATCAAAATAAACTTTAGAGCCTTGAGTCATGATAAAACTGTTTATCGTTCTTCTATGCATCACGCATTCGTGGTCAAAAACCATTATTTTATTCTGAGTGTCACCTTATGGTAATTTAACATCGGCCAATTTTATTAATTCGCAGTCTCAGAAAAGCAGGTTCAACATGCTACTAATCATTGACCGTCAACAATGTTACATGTATCTTGGATATTACAAAGGCTTTGCTAACCGTGTGAAATTCATTGTTTTTTAAATTCCATGAATTTAATATTTCATGATACTGGTACATTCTAGGAGCATTTCGGGGAAATATATATATATTATTCGTTTGTCAATACGTTATTTATCTACATTCTTTTTGTTAAAAGATATGTTACTATTTAGTTTTCGCCCAAAAGATAACTTATCATCGTTCACATTATTATGATATAGCTATGTGCTGCAGAAACGCTCGTTGATGCAAATTCTTCTCACCGTGCCTGCAACTTTTACTTATTCCAAGACAATATATATGCAATTGATAAGAACATGATGTATTTATTTCAATATATGTGTCTTGTACTCTTACAGGATATAGTAAATGGAGGCATGAATTGAAATTAATGAAAGGAATTATTAGTAAAATTGCATAATAGAATGCAAAGAACATAATGTATTTATTTCAATATATGTGTCTTGTACTCTTACAGGATATAGTAAATGGAGGGATGAATTGAAAGAATGGAAATATCACAAGTGCGTGATAAGATCAATAAATAATACAAAAATTAATGAAAGGAATTATTAGTAAAATTGCATAATAGAATGTTTGCATACGCTCCCGAAACTCGTTAATAATATCAGAGGTCAAGTTATTTGTTTCTTTGCTGATAAACAATGCGGTAGAGGATATTCTAAAACCCATCCCAAAGAAGATGCAATTGATATTATAATAGTGACCTCCTCGCCGTCCTCGGGACAAATATATAATCCATAGCCATCCTATCATACGAGACCTAAGCCAAGGCAATGGTCCAGTTAATTGAAGTACTATCAAAAAACACTTATGTCCTATCAATTTCTAATTGCATATCTTAAATAGATTAGAACGATTCAGCGTATCAGCAAAGTTTGAACATTTCACTTGGCTATGGAATGAACTGTTAACTAAAGTTTGGTGTGCATATAGGTCAATTGGTACGAAGATATTTCAAAATAAATCTTTGAGGTAGTATAATATTTTCTAAACGCTTGTCAAAAATGCTGAAAATCAACCAAGAAGATGTTTAAAGAATTCAAGATGAATGAAAAGAAAAATAAGTTGGAACTTACAAATTTCATTAAAAAGTTCAATCAGGTTGGGGAAACAAAGAATGATTGCTAATTAAAAAACCTTCTTTTGAGTACAAACAAACTATAGTTTTCGAGCCACTTCAACTATTACCAGCCTATTTGATTTTGTGCAAAAATAGTGACTGTAACCACTAATGCACCTGTATTCTCCTATACATGTTTAATACTATACTCCAGTTTCAAACTCTATTGCATTATAGGTTTCTGGTGATGGAGTAAATCTTGACAGATAAGACCTATCACTATCTTTTATAGTAGTGGGAAGTGAAAGCTTTGGTTGATTTTGAGATTTGTAAGCTTCCTCTGCCAGCTTCTTCAATACTGCTGCACCATTGGCTGTTGTTTCAACCATCTTTGAAAACAGTGTTTCAGGGTTTTGTAGCAAAGTATGAGGATGGTCAAATTCTATAACTTTTCCTGCATCCAACACCATCACTCTGTCTGAATCTATGATCGTATGAATTCTGTGAGCAATAGTTAAAACTGTGCAATATTTAAACTTTTCCCTTATTGTGACTTGGATAAGACGATCAGTTCTCAAATCGACATTTGCAGTCGCTTCATCAATAACTAAGATTTTGCTTTTTCTCAGAATGGCTCGAGCGAGACAAACAAGTTGTCGTTGTCCAACGCTAAAGTTGGAACCAGATTCTGCAAGTTCACTATCCAGTTTCAGAGGAAGAGATTCCACTACCTCTCTAAGCTGGACTTGTTCAAGTGAATCCCATAAATCCTCATCACTGTATTGTGTGAATGGATCAAGATTTCTTCGCATAGTTCCAGTGAATAGAATCGGATCCTGTGGTATAATTGACAATGCTCTTCTCAAATCATTCAATCCTAAAGGTGTAATTGCAATTCCATCTATATATATCTCGCCGGATGTTAATTCAGACAGGCGAAATAAAGCAGAAATAAGAGAACTTTTTCCAGCACCTGTTCGACCAACAATGCCAACTTTTTCTTGTGATTTGACATTGAAACGGACCTTCTTTAACACATCTGGACCACCAGAATAATACGCAAACGAAACTCGATCGAATGTAATGATTCCGAGGTTTGGCCAAGAAGCAGGTGGTTTCTTGTCCGGTTTTTCGTCTGCAGCTTCTGAAGGAATACTGTAGTATTGCTGAACTCTTTCAACCGAAGTCATCAAATTTTCTACTTCTGTACTCTGCCTTACACCCCATTGAAATACTTCTAACAAAGCTATAGAATAGGTCAAAGACATACCAACTTGGCCAGGATCAACATCAATAAATGATATTGTTATGAAAGACATAAAGGTGACAGTTGTTACAAAAAATGCACTTAAAACATCCAATCGAACTCCAAGCCAGCGACCCGCACATAAGAACAAGTACCATGCACTGCTGTGCAAGTTTTGTCTTTCATGAAACTTCTTTTCAAATGTATCCTGGACTCTAAATGCTCGGACTGTAGTAAGGCCTTGCAATGTAGTAGACAGGAGATCGAAAACCGGACTTCGAGTAGATCCTTCCAATCTTTTGATATCCCGTGAAGTTTTTAAAAAATACTGCCTTAACCAGAAAAAAACAACAACCAATGGCAGTGTTATAACAGCCACCATATAATTGATAACAATTGTAAGAATCAGGATACTTGTGATAAAACCACATACATACAAAAAGTCATAAAATGTCAGTGGCAAAATATCATCGATTTGACCCATGTCTTTGGAAAATCTGTTCAGCACTCGTCCTGAAGGATTTGTATCAAAAAATCTGATCGGTGATCTCAAGATAGCATAGAACATTTTTTTATGCATATGTTTCCCGGATGACACACAAAGATAAAAATGCATTATTGCACGAACCCATATGCAAATATATGTTATTGCAGTAAGACAAGCATATATCATCATATAAAAGTTTGTGTCAAATACATCAGAACTTTCAGAAGTTGATGCCAAAGTAACATCCTCCATTATTGTAGTAGACCAGTTCAGAGTACTTGATACATTGGATTGTAAGTCACTCCCAAGCTGTTGGTGTTCTTCATACTTTGTTGCCCACATTGATATCCACCAGTCACATAAAATAAATGAAATATGGCTCAATAAAATAACTATAATAAAGAAGAAACAAAAAATCTTGCTTGCTCCGACTCGAAAATATTCAAGATAAACACTTCGACCAACACTTCCTTGAACACGCATTTCTTCCGCTGCTTCTCCATCGTTTTTATTTTCTGGGTTTGTTGTGACCGAATTTACAGGATCCTCACCTAATAAACCCAACATTTCTTGTGACAATACAGACTTCAATGAAATAGTTGAAGCTGTCATTTTTGGATCTAGTCTCTGTTTAATTAAAACTGAGTTTTCATCCTCAATTTCTGAAAATTGAGTCTCTACCAAACTAGGTTGGACCTCATCTTTCTCTTCAAGCAAAGCAGCAAAATCTGTTCCATCAGCCTGGAGTTCATCATACGTGCCATGGCTCACGATCTCTCCTTCTTTTAAGATAATAATAATATCAGCATCTTGTAGCAACTGAATCTGATGTGTTACGAGAATACAAACTTTATCTTTCATAATCCCAGATATACAATGTTGAAACAAATGATTTCCAACAACTGCATCTACAGCACTCAATGGATCATCAAGCAGATAAATATTTGCATTTTTACGATATGCAGCGCGAGCTAAGTTAACTCGCGCCTTTTGGCCTCCACTCAATGTAACACCACGCTCCCCCACCATTGTCAAATCTCCATTTGGTAATAATTCAAGATCTCTCTCCAGACCACATGCATGTATTACTCTATCGTACCAATCTGCATCATATTCTTCTCCAAATAAAATGTTTTCTTGGACTGATCCAGCAAATACCCAGGGCACTTGGTTTGCATATGCTATATCACCTTGAATTTTAATTTCTCCCGCAGATGCAGGCAATTCTCCCAAAATCGCACTCAGAAAAGATGATTTTCCTGAACCAACAGGACCAATGACTGCCAGTAACTGGCCAGATGAAACTCTTATATTAATATTTTTCAATGTCAAAATTGTGTTTTCATCCACTTTTCCATTATCATCCCAGCTACCATAAAAATTTATAATTTCTACAAAACTTCCATAGGCAGCCATCTTATCATCAAGTAGATTATTTCTGTATTCACTATCACTAGATTCTATGACTTGATTTAGATTTTCTGTTTCGTCCAATAGTAGAAATTTTTCGATTCTTCTGACTGATATCCTAGATTCTGCGATATTTTCTATCGCTAATGGAAAAAATAATCCCATAGACACTCGAATAACATTATAAATTCCAATCACAGTAAACACTTGAGATGCTGTGAGTTCCCCGCCATTCCCAATATAAACAAGAAATGTAACACATGCTATTAGTTTTGGAGTACATAAATACATTGACAAGTTGAAGGAACGAAGCAGTGCAGTCCACATCACCTTTCGTACCTCACTTTTGCGAATAGCTGCAACTGCTTTTGCAAATGGTTTTTCCCATGTATACATTTTAATTACCCGCATTCCAGTAATGATTTCATTCATAAGTCGAATACGTTCGTCCGTGATAACTGCAGTTTTCATTCTTAAGCTTCCAAAGACTTTCCCATTTAAACTCTGGAAAATCATTGTTAAAAATAAAATGGCAAAGCCTGAAAACACAGCTGGTCCAACTACACCCCATAATATATAGGCACAAATGACCAATTCTACTGGTCCCACCCAGATGTAATGAATAAACAGGGGCAGAGAATCAAATCTTAAGACATCTGTTGCACCAAGATTCACGATTTGCCCAGTGGTTGTCTCACTTAGTGCTTTTTGACTCAATCGTAATGTCTTTTTATACATGAGTGCACATGCAGCAGCTCTGAGATGCCAACCCAACCGCTGAACATTGTAAAAAAAAATATGATGGAAGATTGCGAAAAAGAATGAAATAACACTGATGAAAGTTGCTGTCATGTATGCGTCCCATACTGGCATAGAATCCATGTTTTCAAAATATGAGACAAGTCTTGCAACCAAAATAGGATGAATTATTACTAGTGATTCTTCAAGCAGATACACCAATCCAAGCTTGAAAGAAAAGAAACCATATGTTTTAATAATGGCACGACCAAGACTTGGTTTTCCACCATTTTTTGCTATACAGACTTCAAGTGCCCAATTTTCTTCTAATTTTTGAGAAACTGCTTCGGAAGTATCTTCTTCAGATAGTTGCAACATATCTTTTTCTGAGAGAGATTGCTTCGCTCCTTTTACAAAAAAGGAATTCAGCCACCAGAAAGTACATAAGGATAGTAAAGTTGCCTTCTCTCTTTTATTTGGCTGCAACTTCATATTGCAGTATTGTGATTTTTTCATTATTTCAAAATTAGGTTCTTGGAAAATTTCATGTATTTTTACATTTGAATAACTTCGAGAATTTTTTTATCAGATATCTGAATTAATTTTAACAGTCTGTTCTTAAGTCAGTAAACCTATATTAAAATATTTTCCATGATTTGGATCCTAACCCTAGATATTAAAAAAAAGTACCGTAATCAGATCGACTTACTACTGTATTATAACAGTGCTTACAACTCTATTCAGTCAAATTAACACAGATCCAAGGTGGAAGCAGACAATTTATCCCGGTCACCTAGATTGGGACGGAGTATATAGATGGAGTAAGACTTAATTAACATAAGGTTTTGTTTGTATCTGGCTATCAGCACTTAGACTTTCCTCTCTTGATTGACTGTGGCTCAGTTATCAAATTGCAGTTGATCTCTAAACAAATCTAAACTTTTGATTGATGAAAAATAAAATGCCATAGGGTGTCTACAGGGGTGTTGTATGACCTACATCAAAATCCTTTGAGTGTTTTCATATATTTACTTTTTATGCAACTCAGTTCTTGCATTCGCACCTGTATAACATCAGACTCGTGCAGTGTTGTGCTTCAGTACCGGTACGTTAAGCCTGATCTTGTAGGTATGCCTGGCTTCTCAAATTTATAATTCTGTTATTCTAAATTTTAAACCCCTACCCTATTGAGTTAGAGTTTAATTGAAATGCACTTAGCTAATTATTCGCTTAGAAATTCATTTGTGCCCTGCTTGAATACCGGTACAGTGGCAGTTAATAAGTTACTCTACCTCAAACGGCAATTTTCACTGTGCTGAAAAATATTATACATACAAAACTGTGAACAATAGTTTATATACTTTTCATTCAAATATTTCAGTATTTACCGGGTCTAGTGGGTATTATGTTTTGGTATATCCCTTATTCCTCCTGGTCTGTTCTGTGATTAATTTCTAACGGCAGAACGGTACATTTATATAACAGCATATTTAATTTGTGTACTAGTTCGGCCTAAACCCTATGATATTTTTGTGATAATGTCAACCTATCATTTCCAGGCGTTGATAATTTACGTTATTGTCAGACATACGTAGTTCAACCTGGCTTATTTTTGATTGATTAATGTCAACCTATCATTTCCAGGCGTTGATAATTTACGTTATTGTCAGACATACGTAGTTCAACCTGGCTTATTTTTGATTGATTGTGGTTAAGGGAAAATCTAAATGTTGAGTAGCTGAGCTTGCTATTGTTGCACACTAAATACTAGGGATGGGACGAGTCCGGAATTACAGAGATTCGACGAATCCGAGTAATAGGTCAAGGCCATATATATATTATATATACGCTTTGGTCAAGGCAAGGACTGGAATCGAATCCCTCGAGTCCGTGACGTCACAATGTAAAAGTAGAAAAACACGTTTTTGACCATACTGCAGCATCGCAGCTCATATTTTTTCCCCAGTGGTTCCGCGAATAGCTGTTGAATCAATATAAAAAAAAAAAATTTTCTTTTTTGGCGGCCATAATACAAACGTAAACGTGGGTCAATGTGCGCCTTTGCTATGAACTGGATTTCCAGCCCACCACTTTGCGCCAATGCTGGGCGGCTATTTGAAAATTCTTACATGTCAATATGAAAAATAAAAAAGCTTTTGACTACAATGCTTTCCCATAATTCCAGATATTTTTAGCCTTAAATTTACTATGTCGCGTGCGCAAATGGTAGAGAGATGCCACTCGTCGTCAATACAATGCTTGCAATTTAGTAGTTCATGTAAACGTTCTAAATCGCTCCATGCTTTCTATTGCTCCCTTTTTAGAGAAAGGATTGCACGTAATAAACTCGATTTAAAAGAGGTATTGGTGAGATTCCCCCTTGGGTTGATCCTGCGCATGTTTCATATCTATTTATGCGAATGGAAAACTCAAAAACATTGCGCTACAGAAACACATATTTTATTGTGTATCACATCAGTGGCGGCGCGTGGTCATTTTGACAACCGGGGCAAGCTACTGCGGGACCAAGTCACCCCCATCTACGGGGACAGGATGAGCGCTGTAAGTTCTCCCATCATTTTATGAGTATAAAAACCATTCCATCGGTAACAACCAATCGGCAAAAGCGACAATTTTTAACGATAAGAAAGTGTCTTTAAAACCGGTCCAAGTCAAGGGATTAATAAATATAGACATAGTTTATTTTGAAACCTCTTTCAAAAGGAAAGGCAATATTTACCCAGATAAATACAATGACATATTAACAGAAACTTCGGGAAAGCAGACAAACCCTAAAATAAGGTTTAAAACGTTATTATGAAGAAAGGAAAGTTAATGCAAAGATAAGGACATGCGTCGCTCACTCATAGATATATATGCTGCTAGACTTCTACTGCTTGAACATATATGCAACACGCCGCGGTTTCTTGGAAGCAAAATGCTCAATAACGCGCTGATTAAAGTCATGCATCCCAGAAATAACGTCTCTGTGAATGGATAAAACCGCCAAGGAATTTAATCTATCTTGCTTCATTGTATTTCTGAGATACGTTTTAATACGCTTCAGCGTGCTGAATGTTCGCTCTGCGTCGGCGGAAGAAATGGGCGTCGTCAAAATGATGTCCAGTAATTTTGCAGACGCCGCAAAGGTAGTTACTAGAGTGTTATCTATGAGGAACCCATAGAGCGCGCAAGTTGATGTGATGTTCAAAAAAGTTTGATTGGTGTATATACATCGCAATTCATTTTCCAATTTACCCACGTTTATCATGGGGTAAAATTTGGAGACAGTAGCCAACAAATGGATGGGAAATTGACGTGCAAATTTTGAAAAATTTTTGGGGTTCATCAAAGCAATGACATTAAACAACATGATAGGCAACTCTGACGTCACTCCATAAGACTACAGGCGAAAGATTGTATTTCATGATACGCTCAAATGCACATATTTCTCGTCGCCTTTCGCGACCGTTTTCCGCTCGCTTTTGCTGCTCAGCGTCTTTTTTCCGTGTAGTACCTGCCTTTTTGCGCCTGTAACGAGAGAAAATAATCTTTATATCTAAGAAGTTTTGCTCACTTGGAAAGCTGGAATGGCAGACATGTTGTAAAGAGCAATTCTGGGCATCATAGACGATTTTTTTATCAGAGAAGATTAGAAACGCGATAGCGGAAGGATTTGAGTGGAACATTTTGCAGATATTGACAAAATTCAAAGTTAGTAATTTTAATGTTTGCGCTTAAACATTAAAATTTCATTCAAAGAGAGTGTCATACAAAACAGCAAAAATGTTTTTACTTCTCTTAACGGTTCTGTGATACAATTCCATAACACAAAGTTTGCCCTTATCGAACTTGCTTTTGTAGGTGAATTTATTAGACATATTACATATTCAGTTAATCGTAGGTAACATTGCTGGTACATAATGCATCGTAGATAGGTTTGTTTAAATTTAGGAATTTAGCTCATAGCCCACTAATTAATATTATCTTATATGCAGGAGGTTGCAGGGCTGAATTCAACTTGCAGCCTTACCGATCACCTGACGATGCACATTTAGTTTGGCTCGAGCAAGTCTTCTTGAAATGCTTGTGTGGATGGAAACTACCTATATGTTTTGTCTTCCTCCGATTTTAGACAAATTTATTCTGAGGGATTTCGCATATAATTCTCATTGATTGTTGGCTGTTTATAATTCCTATTAATTGTGAATTCTGATTATAACAAAGAGTTAAAAATTGTTTTTACCTAATTTACTGGCACCTTTTTCTTGTCCATACTCCAAGCAGAGGTAATAAACAAGACAATACATTTATGTCTAAGGATGCCAAGTATGAGTACTTACAAGTATTCGATTCTTATCCGATTCCTAAATTTTCGATTCCGATTCTCGATTCCGAATCTCGATTCCTCGACATATTACCGAAAAAATATACCCACCCAAGCAATACTATATAAAATCAAGCAAGACAGCGATGTTCAAAGTCTGGACGGACAAGAATGCCGAAACTAAGTAGTATGGGTATCCAATCTGCCACATGAGACAAAACCGCACAAAAAAAAACGAATCCCTCAGAACCCACACAGAGATTTTTAAAATAAATAAACGTTAAAGCCTACTAGCGATATTTATAATATATATATTATATATAGTGAAGTTTGCGGTGTCGTAGCAACTCAACATAGCAGTGAAGCAGTTTATACATATAATATATGTGAAGAAATTGCCACAAAACGTTACACATTGTTTGCAATCCAAGTTTCAAACTCGAGAATCGATTCCGGTGCATCGGAATCGATTCTAGTCGATTCCGCGAAGAATCGATTCTGTAATCGAATCCGGACTCGATTCCGCCATCCCTATTTATGTCATCTTGAAGCAAAATATGCGCACTAATTAATAGTTTGACACATTGAGATAATACATCATGACAGAAAATACAAGTTAAAGATATGTATGACCATCACATGGTAATTAGAATTGACAAATTAAGAGGGGCTGTGGAGTATGAAAAGTTCAAGACAAAGAAAAGAACAAATGTTCATAGCTCATAAACTCTCAATTTTGCCTCCATTGCTTTGTGAAGCCCAATATATTTCGAGTGGCTGAATTGGTTTACCTTTATGATAGCAACGATTTTGTATTTAATATAGCGAGATTTTTTTCAATTTTATTGAAGTGATAATATTTCGCAAAGCAATGCTTGAATCTTTTAGAACAGATCAGTCGTGTCAAACTCACGGGTTTTCGAGAGCCGCATTGCATTTTGAAAATTGTAAAAAGGGCCGCAAACAGTTTTTGATAATGTATACTTGAAAGATATTTTTAAGATAGTTTTAGTTTGTGACATATATTGTGATGCAACTAAACAGTTGGATTAAGTTTTTTTATTTTCTTCAATTTCAAATGCAATTACATATTAATATTTGCATTCCACTATTATTGCAACATTTGCAAGTTACTGTATTCATTATAAAAAATCATAAAATTCTATGTACAACCATCAAAATCATTTTTGAACAAGCTTTGGATAAGGAAAGAATAATACATACACTAAAAATGATTTAATTTAAATATATGAACCTAATATTAACTAAAATACTACAGTATAAACTTAATGTTTTTTAATTACATTTGTTCTGACGTTTGGCATCATTTTTTTTGTCACCAGCATACTCAGGCCAGACTGAAATGATTTCATAGTACAACTCTAACTAACCAGGTCACATGATCATGGGTTAATCTGGATCTTTGCGAATATTTAATTAATTCCAGTAATGCAAAAAAGTTACTTTTATCATTTCATATATAGATCAGTAAAAAAAACAAATGACAGATTTTTTCAAAAAGACATTTTGCACCACATTGCGTGGCATAGGATTGCTTGAATTATTATTGATATTGATTTTTAGTAACTAAGTCGTTGTGTAATTATATTAATATACAAACACATGAAAATTTTTTGTTCAAAGTTGGTCTTCGAATTTGTCATATTGACTGCTGAGCTTATTGTGTTTTTTCACTGTATTGATGGAAATATGACAAATTAAACAATGTGCTTCAGAATTTTGTGAAATGCAGAAATATTGCAACTCCCATTTTCTTCGAAAATGCCACCTTCTTCATGTACTTTGCGTTTAATTTAATCACTCAAGTGTTTTATTCAAGTATTCTTTTGCTAGCTTGATGTGTATTCTTAAATGGGTCAAGATGTGGAAAAAAAAAAAAAATTTTCTAAACTACTTTCAGTCAATTGTTTTCTGTGTGGATAATCAATCTCACTTTAAAAGGTTTAAAAAATCTATTACATTTAGATAAAAAAAAAAAAATCCAAAATACTATTACAATTATTGTTAAGCGTTCGAGGGCCGCACTGGAAGTTCTCTGGGGCCGCGAGTTTGACATCCCTGGTCTAGAATGAAGTTGTCCAAAATATATATAACAGTATTTTATCATGAATGATGATTATACCCCTTCCGGAATTTCTTCTATAGTACTACCAAAAGTTGATGAACCAAATATAATACAAGTGCAGTGAGTTACCCGTAATCCTCATTTTGCAAAGCTGTTTTAAGTATGTCTGGCGTGTTTTGTGCATTTTTACAAATAAGACCGCTTATGCAATCTTACGCTTTGGAATTTTTAGTTATTTTCCTCAAGCCCTGCAGGATGTGGGGACCATACACAACTCTACCGAAGGGCCAAATGTCTTTGCATGCCTCCATAGGTTGTTCTTCTATTGCAA